TCATCGGTCCATTTAATTATCCATTGCTGGAGCACATACCTTTCTTATAAATAAAGTCAAATAGCAAGGATAGGCCACAATATATTTATTTATTATTGAAAAAAACACAAAATACGGACTTAATGTCTAAGGCATTCTCTACCAGTCAACCTTAACAGATGTTGGAGATCAGTTGATTAATAAATTAATATGCGTATTGAATAATTAAATGTATAAGTATAAAATGAGAATGACATTTTACATACTAAAATAGTGCTGGCGGACCAATCTCTTAAATAGCGTTATACTTTTAGTAGTCCTTATGTGAAGTGGCAAAGCATTTCAAAGGTGAACTGCAATAAAGGTAAAGGATTTGTAAGCGAATACAGCAATACGGTATGATGATGAGGAGTTTGGAGAATGAGGTTGCTATTAGAGCGAAGACCACTTTGATTATAGAATCCAGGATATTGAAACCTATATTTCAACTAAACTGGATACTCGGATCGTATGAAACACACACCATAACCACAAAAATATTATATATATATTTTTCAGTAAGGTAACTAAGACCAATGAAAATGGTTGTATCAATGCACACATACAAATGCGCGCGATGAGGCTTCTAAACGGACGGTGATGTCGTGTGAGTGTCGGCTCGTTACGTTCCCTAAAATATGGTTGAGCGAAGCGATGGCTGCCTCATACGTCATGCTCGTGAACGGGTGCTGCTAGTGGAGATATGTCTGCTCTGGATTACTTATTATCTGTGAATTTTTGTAATCTTTTATATAACAAAAAGCGATTTCGTATTATAATGAAGTCAAATTTTAATTAGACAATTCTGTATGAAATAAAACAGGGAGTAAAAGGCAACCCTTGCTGCGTTTCTTGTCGGCTCTTCGCAGTACAAGGTTTACCGTCGTAGATTTGCGAACCGATGGCATAGCTTTCGATATTCACAAGTGCTTGTTACAGCCTAGACTGAATAAACGACATTAATATGAATTAGAATTTGGACGTTGCCGCAGTGCACTCAGTTACCCTTGACGCGTCAAGAAGATTGAATATTTGTGGACAGATAGCCTGCGATCTAATTAAAAATACCGCGAGATTATATTGTGGAATGTATAGGCAAAAAACTGATACCGCTTAAGGCCCGTGGCAAATCCATCAGATATATATATATTTTTTTTTTACTAATTGCATAATAATAAATGTCAAGAGTAAGGGCGCTTGTGCACTACACTGAATTTTCAGGTCCGTCGGTCCGATTTTTTCCGGTCCGGAATGACATGAAAAACTCGGATGAGTAGCTTGTGCACTTGTCCGTTTTTTTCCTGATCGGAGCGGCGCAGTGTAGTGCAGCTCTCTTTGAAGCTATACGTCACTTGCGCTAGGTACGATGAGATTTTTGGAACGTCGGTAATTCCGTTCGAAGACATAAAAAGGTACCTAAATAATGATCTGATCGTATTACATAAACCATAATAAATTATGGCAAGGCGAAAGCATTTTTTTTTTTTACTGCTATCGGATGACTACTATCAGATGTAAAAATTATACCCTTACTTATTTAGGAACAGCATTATTCACATACAATAGCTAAAAATATCTGTGACATTAGAATAAAATTACTGATAATGGTCTAGTACGTGATGTTTAAATATTTGAACGTGCTATTTTTTTTTCGAAGTTTTGTAAAAACAACTTTCAGCGATTACAGAGATAGATCAATCGGTGGCGCCATTTCGTGAACAAATCGAAATTAGTGCCGTGTTAGCGGAGAATTATTATGCTAAATGAACTTTACGAGATCAGTTGACTGTATTATATAGGCATAATTTTTATACGCGTGGTGTAGTTTCTTTGAGCAGAAATATTTTTCCCTTAGAATACTTCTTTTTTAAAATTTATTAATGACACAGACATACATTAAAATTTTTATTAAATGCGAAAAAGACATTGAGTGTCACTTAATTACTTTTGTAAATCTTCTATTTATTCTTTATTATTACTTCTCTTGTCAAATATTTATCTATACTTATCAATTGTCTAAAAAAAATTTGATAATAACAAATTTCTAGGCAAACTTTCATCCCCTATTTTTCGCGATAAAATGCAGCCTATATCCTTTCTTAAAGTTAAGTCTATTTACTATATTAATTTCCATTTAGATGGGTTCAGTTGTTTAGGCGTCTAAGCGTAACAACACTTACTTATCTTACCTTAAGCTATCGATACTTTTAATACGATTCTAAATCTAGCTAAGTATCGATACTAGAACCATACGCTGATCAAATTAGAACTTTACCGAGTTTGCCAAAGAATATGCAGTGATATATATCCAACTATATTGAATCATCATATAAAATATAGCATTTTATAATCAACAATAAATATCGATTATAAGTTTATTGGAAATTAACAATATTGCCGAAATAAATATCGATTCAAATCGATCATTTTTCCCAAGCCTATTCCTTATGAATTTTCCGGATCTCGGACACAGCAGTGCTCAAGCGTAAACACGTTTTTCATTGCCGCCATCACGGAACTGAAAAAACCGGTCCGGAATAGAGAAAAGTAAAATTCCGGACGGTAAAATTCCTGACAGTGCACAAGCGCGCATTACCTACACATGGCCTGACATATCGGACCTGAAAAAATCGGACCGCCGGACATGAAAATTCAGTGTAGTGCACAAGCGCCCTAAGGAGTCTCCAATGACCGGGGCCCCTTCCAGCTGGGGGCCCGTGGCATTTTGCCGACTAGCCACCCTATAATTACGCCACTGGGTATAATCAAAGCTAAGGACAGAGTTAGTGGTCCTCCTAAGTCCCAAGAGTGAATTGACTGTGGGCTTAGAGAAAGTTTCTTTCGTGAGCACGTTAAGATTTTAGTTTAGAAAATTGTACCTTTTAGTATGGAAACCGCCACAGCGCCGCTCTATAAACTTACACTTACCAATCTGATATAATTAATTTTCTCTCATACTCGTATGTATAGTCGAGAGAAGTAATTACTTGAGAACATGTCATAGCTTAAACGAATATTATTACCAATATACGAGAATTTGAATGAACTAAGAACTGTTATTAGCTAACAATAATAGTATTCTAACTATTACCAACTTTTATTTCATACAAATCCTGTTTATTTGCTAAAAATGTGTGCTTGTATGACATTTTCTCAAGTAATTACTTGGCTATACAAAGATACGAAGACGAGAGAGGAAGCTTTTCCTAAGTTATTTATTTATCAACACATAAAAACTATTATATAGTTATTTTATCACTTTAGCGATATTTATAATCACTGCGTCACCATCAAATAAATTATAGGTCACAGTAGCAGCGATAATATTTTAATGGCTTTGATTATTATTAGAGTATATTTGGACCGCTTCAGTTGTGGATGTGAATATTTTGAATAATAAGTGCCAGTAAGTAAAAATGAGAATTAATGAATTTTATTTGTATAGTAATATATAATTTTAACCCTTTTAAAAATATAGATTTTATATAGTAAATCTTTGTCAAAAATCGTCAGTTTATAACTTCACGTTAGTTAATTAACCTACGAATAAGTTTATAAACCGTCGTAGTTTTAGATTAGGTTATAATCATTCTAGTATTTATTATAAACTGACGATGTTTACAGTTTTACACATTATGTATCGGGCATATAGGGGAAGTCCGCGAGACTTGAACCTCTTTTTACTTGAATTATCATATCTTCGTATATATTTGTCGTAGAGACCAGATTATAATTTTAATTCATGTGTAATTTATATAGACTTGTTTTTGCAATACTTTTAAATATTTCAATTCTGTAAATTGCTAAGCCGATTTGAAGTATAAATGGGAAATGGATCAACTCTCCCCACTATGAGGGACATATGATCAAAAGTCTGAGGAAACTCATTATCAGGGGTTTTAGTAATAATCTGTTTATTTTTTTAGTATCATCTTTCTATTAGAGTGTTTTGCGTAGTTTTGCTTTCATATATTTATTATTTGGAATTGATACTTATCGTTATTCTCAAAAATTATAAAAACTATTCCAAATGTTATTTGCCTTCTGTTCACTTGTTTTATTAACATTTATAATATTTAATTGAGTGCAAGTAGTATTATGGCAGAAGAATCATCACCACAGATGGTATAATTAACCACTGATGTCTTCAACAAGAACAGTGGTTCAACTCTCCCGCATACTGATGTATTCGACATAAAATTTTCATTGCAGAAAAGGTATTCAATAACTGTTAAAAAAAAAAACTAACATACTTCAAACTAGAATAATCAGCAAACACGATAAAAATAATACACAATACTTACATCGATAAACACGGCCAGTATCTCAAAACTACTTATTATTTATAATTTATTTTGTAGTGACCAAAACACTTTTCGCAACTTAAAAGCTAAACAAATCAGGCATTTTGTGCAATAGTGACACATACATTATTGGTCTTTCATACATGATTTACGACTATGTTAATGTTTCATTAGCTTGCAATTAACGTTGAATTTTGAGAAGTGGTTCAATTCTCACATCTGGGCAAGTCTCCGGAGTCCCCCTACATATGCAATGATTTTTACGGCAAATAAGCATCATTTCGATAAAATCGCATTGATCTTTGCTGTGTGCGATGAATCTGTACTCTCTACATAATTTACTTAATCTCAAAGGTTACGGTAGCCTCGTAGAAGTGTGTAGGTGCGTTTTTTCGCACCTTGACCTAATCTTTACTTTTATAAACTCATGTTTCGGTGAATTGAATTTATATGTTGGTTATACCATCCAAGAATGAAGAGAGATTCCAATATAGTGTATTTTTACATTCAATTTAATTTTCCACGTACGACTACTTAATTCAATCTCGGTAAGTTCAGATTGTGTTTTGATGTCAGAACAATTACAGATTGTGTTTAGATACGGGAAACGCGCACGAATAAAATTCGTGCGAAAACGCGTCCAAAGTGAGCATACCCTTCATTCGTTCAATTCAGAGGATGCGGCGTCCGCGGCGTCACCGCTGGATAACGGTGTCGGTGTTCTTCATCGCGTACTCGGTACTGCAGGCTGCGTTCACATTGTCTAATGCGTCCGAACCAGCCTCTGATGTAGATCTTCCTGAGAAAATTGAAAAAACCGAAAAGGGTATTCAGTCTACACCAGCAGATCCTAAAGATGAAATCGTGAAAGGTAAATATCACAAATATTGTGTACTTTTAGTTTTACTCTGGTAATAACACTGGTGAAAAAATTTATTGTGTCACACGAAAACTTACATCAAAAATTTTATGTTTCATACGCATCATGTATTCTTGTGACATCAAAATATATGCTTTCGGAAAAAGTATAAAAATTTGCTGGATTTAGAAAAAAAATCGTTTCATGTATGTCATGTTACCATAATATATCAAATTGATTTTGATCTCTATCTACAACGCATTAAGTTTTAAAATCAAATTATGTGTTGTTCACTATACATGTACTTATGATTTTCGTAAATAGCAAATATTTTTTCTTTCTTTTTATTCAAACTACATTTAAATTACAAATGACTGGTGTTTTCTACCCTGCAGGATTATGATTCAAAAAATATCCGTCGGGTAGATGATTGAAAAATATTAAACATTTTTTATTTTTTTGCATAAAAAATTACGGAAATATATTGGATTGAAATGTCATATTATATTATATATTGGATTGAATTGACTATAAAATCACACTAACTTGGAACAAAAAACGTATGTAACATTTTTCTTTTTACCCATGCATTTACCCTATTGTACAAAAATGGGTGAACTGGCATCGGGTTACCCTGTGGTTTTACGAATAATTGTTAACTCCTTATTGTCAATGCGTAAACCTATTGTCAGCAACGCGTAAATAACGAGTAGCGCATGTCGACGCCGACGTCACCAATACTTCGTATGTTCAAAAAAATCGCCCATAGCAAAAAAGATATAAAAGCATATACATATTGATGTTATTTTAAAATTTGATTAAAATATAATTATTTCTAATATTTACTTCAGTTACAAGGAAATATGAAAGCGATGCAATAACTACAGAACCCCGACTAAACCCTGAAGTGAGTTATGAAAAAACTACTGGAATAGAAGAAAATATAGACGATTATACGATGATGAAAGACGACAATTATGTAAGTACCAATAAAATTGAGCGACTTCAGAGTCTGTCAGAATGTTTTGTCATGTCAGAGTCTGTGAAAGTTTCTTTGTTTGGATGTTTGTCCGTCAATCACGACGAACTTACTGAACGGATTGTGATGAAATTTGGTATACAGATATGGTATTAGCTGACTTAGATAATAGGAAAATTTTATCCCACTTCACATTTCCCTGCGGGCGAAGCTGCTGGCGAAAGCAAGTTAATATAAAGACCAGAAAAAAATACAAAAATAAATAACAAACATTAATTCGCCAAACTGTGTACCAGTTTATGGGCAATAAATCCTACGCTCTTTATATATTTTCTTATTATTTACTATATAAGCATAAAATATATATTTATTATTTGTTTAGGGGTAACATACTATACTAATAGACTTACCTATATATACAACATAAAAATTTATTTTAAGTTATTATTTTTTTGAGCATGATAATTCTGGAATCAAAAAGGGTAAGGCCATCCATATTATTTAACACAGTACTCAATTCGTAGCAAACAGTAAATAAATTAGTAATGGTAATACTAAAAATCTTTCAGTTTTAAAATTTACTGTAATATACTTATGAAGATATTAAAATTTTTGATTTGAATATTTATTGAAGTTGATTTTAAAAACAAAAACACATTTGTTATGTTTTTATCCATAACACTCAAATAGTAACCGTTGGCAAACAGTCTTTAAACACTGTATTTTAAATATGTATGAATGTTTTTAGTGTTCCCAAACCCATACGGTTAAATCCTTTTGCTAAGACTCCAGATCTGTCCGTCTGTACACCCTGTGTTTCTTGTAAGCCGTAATATATGGGCTGTTAAAAATCTCACAGATGATGTATTTCTGTGGCCGCTGTAACGACATATACAAAAAGCAAAATATTAAAGATAGACTCTCATAACAATAAAAGGGGTTTTTGCGTTATTGCAGATAATGTTACAAAGTTCCCACCCGTTTTACCTAATACGAGAATATAGTATATATTCTTCGTTACTTTGACGGTTATTTGTCTGCAGGTTGAAGAAAAGAAAGAGTTGGAGAATGAAATCAATTATTTCTCTGGAATGAAATCAGATTATCAGCGAGTTGGTTGTACCCCACCAGCTATTGAACAGGTTATTATTTATAATAAAATAAATTAATTCAGCGTTTTTCAGTACAAGAAACATAACATTAATATAACAACACATAACATTTCTCCAGAACCAGAAATTCAATTAATTTCACTCCAGAAACCACGGCAAACCACGGATGTATTTGTGGGTTCTATGTAGTCAGATATAATTGAACCACACGCTTAAAGTTATGTTAATAATTATTCAAATGCGTCAAAATCTTTTCATACAAGGTATTAAAGGTGATCGTCCACTTGTCAGTACGCACGCACCAGCTGCACCACACGCAACAGATTATATTATAAAGTCCTATGACGTTATCAGCATAATTCCGGCGTCAAATCTGACGTCACGATGGCGTTGCGTGTCGTGCGGCCAGTGCGTGCGTGCTGAGACTGTAGACATGTGACGGGTTCGATGCAAATGAATAAAAGCCGGACTGAGCTTGAGAACTTGATTTAATTAAGGGTAAACAAAATGGTGAGTAATTTATTATATTTGATTGGATATATTTACAGCACGTAGAAATAAATAGATGTAAACACTCTTTACAATAAAAATTGCTATTGATTGAAATTAAGTATTAAGTAAGTTTCTAACTCGAAGAATTTTCACGAACAAATAAAGAGCGAGTTCATAAAAAGCGTATTGGATAACTCAAAATTTCAAATAACGAAAAGTGAATAATAAGAATAAAATGATGTTTAAGATCAAAGACAATAAGATTGCATTTGGAAACCTAGGACGATATAAACGAAATAAACATTCCTTAAAGCATTCTCCAGTTCCTTCGTGCATTTTAATTTAACCTAACAATTCATATGGCACGTATTACCACTAGGTGGTGGTGTTTCAAAAAATACTTACTTGTAATGAACTGTCATTGACAATAGTTGTGAATTGCAGTTCCCGAAACCGCTGATGGGTGAGTCGTTGCGCAAGCAGGGTGGACTGATCATACATGTATTGGTAGCAGTGTTCACATTTATCGGGCTCGTAATCGTCTGTAACGAGTACTTCGTGTCGAGCCTACATAGGATCTGTAAAGGTATTTTAAGTTGAGATCACGAGGGAGCGTAATCGTAAGACGGACGAAAGAAAAATATAGAGTAGATTGTTATATGATACACGTTATAGAACTATAGGAGTATTACCGAGCTTATAAACATCACTGAGATTCGTACTTCTGTCTTAATTAATACTTTTCACATTGAGATAATTTCCTGAAGTTATTTTGGTTGGCAATTGAAATAATTACGAATAATATAAATAAAAGTCAGGAAACAGCGGATCAATATTTTTAAAGTAAAAGCATTAAAAAAAGGCTATATTTTTCTCCGTGTCTCGTTAGCTTTTAAAAGATTTGAGGTTGTGTATGTACACAAACTCTTTTCGAGATCTTATTGTTCGGCAGGCCCCGAAAGCACAGATTGTTCTTTAATGATGAACTCATAGAGAAAATCAATACAGTTTAAGAAAAACAGGAAATTCATTGAGCTAAAATCTAAGCAACTTAACCGGTACCCGTGACAATAAACACCTTTTTTATGTACCAAGCACACATTCTTATGCATATTGATAAACAGTATCAGCATCTCGGTTGCATAGTGGGTAAGCCCCGCGGCCCGCGATCATTGTTGTTAAGCAACTTTCGCCTGGATTGGTTACGAGATGGGTTATCAGAAATTAGTATTTCGAGCAATTCAGTGCTTGGGAAGACACGAAAGTCGTTGGTCCTGGCTGCATTTCCAGTCATTAAAAGCCTCCAATCCGCATTGGGCCAGCGTGTCAGGTCATGGCCCATCCTCCTTAACCGTCCATAAGAAAGGCCTGCTTAGGCCTGCAGTAGTGCTGATGATGGTATAACAAATACTATCGAAAATTTATTAGCTTATTTCTTTCCATATAGAGTTACAGTTGGCGCCCGATGTAGCGGGTGCTACGTTCATGGCTGCCGGCAGCTCAGCCCCGGAGCTGGCCACTGTCGTCATTGGCATCTTCTGTGCAAAAGATGATATTGGTAAGGACCCATTTCATTTCATCTTAACTTTAAACCTTTTATGATTTTCGCTGGTTTCACTTCTCCTAGATGATTCGAATGTTTTTTTATATATCCTCAGTTGCAAGTTCAATTGAGTTAAATGACAAAACACGATTTTTCAGTAGAAGCGTATAAATTTATTTTTAGGAAATAATCGTACATAACTTTTTGTCTATTTAGCCCTTTATGAATTTTTTTTAAGAAAATGCTCAGAATTCTGCGGGTGTCTGCCTGAACAGACAATAATATACAAAATTAACATACTTTAGAAAATTAATAAATTTTGTTACACCACAATTTTTAGGTACCCGGTTACACTAAATTCACCATAAAATGTTTTTAAAAGTGGTGTAAAAACATTTGTTATCAAAATTATATTGATCCTTATCTTAAAGAAAAATACAAAAAAATATCACCAGTCCCAAGTGCCCGAAAAGCCCACAACCTTTCGCATTCTGGACGACTACTCTAACCATTGAGCTGTCCGGGTCCTAGCAGGACGTGGTTTATATTTTTAATTATTAGACATATAACGAAAGGGACAAACCTCATTAAGGTTATTGTTATTCGTCAGGTGTGTCTGGTACAATCGGTTCGGCGATGTCCAACATAATGTTCGTGATCAGCGTGTGCGCACTGTGCGCCGGCACCGTGTCGCACCTCAACTGGTGGCCGCTGTGCCGCGACTGCTTCTTCTATGCACTCTCCATACTCGTTATGCTCTGCACTATCGCCGACGGATTCGTCTCCTGGTAATACCTAAGTACAAAGATTATTATACTGTTGCTTAGTTTAGATGACAATACATAGTTAACGGATGGCTTAAGATGGTGGTCTAACCATTTTGCTAAGAAAAATACATATTAATAAAATGATTTCATTCTTAATCTATAATTTTTATCTCTTTTCCGATCTACACTACATCTAACTCGAGTCCCAGCCAACGTCCTGCAGATTGTACTAAAATTAAGAAAAAGGCTTTATTAGTGCTATTTTATTGGCAGGTCTGAAGCACTTTTCATGCTGATCATGTATGGAGTATACTGCGTAGTGTTGCGGTTCAACACAGCTTTGGAGCGTTGGGCAATTACATTATTTCTACCATTTTATTTGTCCAGGAAGGATCGGGCCGCATTTATTACTTACAAGTCAGTTTTACTATATTTAAGAGCTCATCCGTATAATAAATGCACTTATTTTTTTATGCACTTATTATTTAAATTAACTGTAAACAAAGAAATTAAGTTGAAACTTGAGTATGATAATTTTGAAGGACTATTAAAATAATAATTGGACTAATCTTGTTTTGTATTTTTATACAAAAAATGGATTCACTATAATTTCTAGACTAATATAAATTAAGCGAATTCGCTTTCAAAGTTAATTCGGCCAACTGAGTGAATTCGAATTCGATTTTTTATTAAATCGCTCTCCAGTTCTCACAGAAATGTATACCGGTGTTTGGGGTTGAATGTAAGCTAGTTTTAACTACAAACTTCTGGATCCAGCCTCTCAAAAATTTTAAATACCCAGTGCAACGATTTTATCTTACAAATAATAATGTACCTACAGTGCGGGAGAGGCTCCGCCTGCCACAGCATCTGAAATCACACAGATGGAAAGAGAGACTAGCGAGACACTAATTCTACAAAACGCAAGTGAGTGAACGAATAAAATTAGTAATTTTTAACCGACTTTAAAATCCAAAAGGTTCATCGTTATTTCCGCCAATTGTTGATTTTCAAAATGGTTTTTTTATTCGACAGCTTAATGGATCGAGGTGGTCCCATATAAATTTTAACGACATCGAGTCAGTAGTTTTCCTTTTATAAGAATACAAAAAGGGGTTTTTACCAAATATCACCCAAATATTTAGTTGATATGATAAGACATGGCTCATTCCAGCTAAAAAAAACAAAGGATTGCGAATTTAAAATTTATTCAAAATCCGAAAGGTGAGTTTTCTATGTTATTTTAAGTAAGTATGTTAATCGGTTTCTTCTTGAATTGTATATCAAACTAGCTGTTTCCCTGCGACTTCGCCTGCGTAAATTATAGTCTATGTCAAACGCGTATTAAGTAGCGTCCCAAAGATAAAAGACTTTCATAAATCGGTCCAATAGTTTCGTAATTTATCTAATGCAAACAAAGAAGCAAACACTTTCCAAAATCTTTCCTCTTTTAATATCATTCAATTAATAACCTACAGAATCCTCCACCTCCGCCCGCCTAACTTCAATAGTATTTATTTGAATAAGTAGATTTCGAGATAAGTATTATTTTGTCGTTTTTTTTTATATTTGTCGATAAAATTTTATTTAAGGTTTTAATAATTTTAAATGAATACATAAGTAATAATCTCTTCATCGTAAAATATAACGACACGGTTTTATTATTTTTCTTCTTAAAACGACACCATTTTTAAATTAATCACATAACGTGTGCAACGTTGCGTACAAGAAGGTTGACATCTATATATGTTGGAGAAAAGTATTTTCGCATATAATATGCATAAACTTGTAATATTTTTTTTCTGGCTATACCATTTGTATATGGCTGGTTTCGGTATCATAAAAAAAATTTTTTTTTAAGAAAATAACTTTGAACTCAAATAAGAAAAAATTGTGATTTCATTTGTAACCGGTACATTTAAAATTTTCATTACAAAAAAGGTTAATATGGAAAGCAAGCCGCGAAAATGTTTTATGTCACGTTTATGGCCCTAGCGCAGTTTCTGTGAGAGTAGCACAAATTTGGTTTAACGTTTTCAGACCGGAAATTTTGATCATTCGTTTATGATCAAAGATTACGTCACTCCGGTCGCCTTATTACGGATATAACGGATGCCATTTTTGTAAAAGTGGAGTGAGATCAGCATATAGCACCACACCTAGATCTAAAATGTTACAACTAATTTTTATAGAACACAAATATTTTCTTGTACCTAAAAATAAATTATTTAAGTAACAGTAAATTCTTATTAGATTATGTTTACGTCTTCGACGTGAGCGCAAGTGGTTGACAGCCCGACCCGTGCGAAATGGATACGCAATAGCGGGTCCACTAGCGCGGGGTGACGTAGCCCGGAGCGGCTCCCACTACTCGCCGGCCCCTCATCATCGTTCTCCTTCTGAGAACTTTGACGAGGGCCGGAGGATGTGGGCTAAGTGGTCCTGGGATTCTCCTCTCCTAGAAGAAGGGGAGCTCTTAAAGGGCTTGGACTTTACAGTATAGAGAGCGAGAAAGTTGTTTCGATTTTCGCCAATCGGCGTTGTCTTCAACCTGCCTGTACCCTACAAGCGTATCTATTTAAGTGAAAGAATTTTTAAAATCGGTTTATGCCAACAAGCTACTCATAATGTTCTTAGTATATTTTTTGGTGACGGACTGGTATTCTCTTATTATGTTAGACGTATTATAAGTGACAAAGAGAATCGTTTAAGTGGAGGCAGGACATAGATTGAAATTATGATTTAAAGTTTGTATGGAAGTTTGTCATTGTTAACGAAATTTTGAAAATTAAATTTACTTTTAGATTTTACTTTCAACAGCCAGATGCACAAACCTCCATTAAAGTTTTCATTAGTTTAAAGCGACATTACCCATACAAGGCGTCATTAAGCCTTAATGGACGTTTGTCCAATTTACCGTATACGAATAATTTTTTTATTAGAATATATATTTCCATTAAATAAATTTATTTAAAAAAAATGTCTACGCCCCTATTAGCAATACTGTTACTGTTCTCTATACCTATCTGAGTATTATCATTTAAATAAGTGTACTACTGTTTCTCATGTATTAATAGCCATGTGATGACAGCAGTTCCGGGGTATAACTGCTGTAGATACTATTATCCATTATATCAAAACAAAAATATAGAGCTCATAGTTCTCAATTCAGTCATCTACGGCGTAAATGCACTCGGCCTTCGACGCAAATCTTTTAACTAACTTTCGTATGCCGAGCTGGTCATAGGATGAGCGACAAAATATATATTATCATGAGCTCTTCCGTATACTTCGGAAGGCACGTTAAGCTGTAGGTCCCATCTGCATCTACAGTTGTTAACGCCCACCAATTTACACCGTGCTCGCGCGGTCGATCATCGACACATTCTCCCACTGAATTCGTTTCGATTTTTCTGGCATAATCAAACGTTATCAATCAAAAATAGTCGAAATCGTCTTACGTTATAAATTGATTATCCCAGTCTCACATCCGACCACTATTTAGACAATTGAATATCGATATATAATTTTTTGTTTGATAATAATAAATAAAATTATCAACATTACATACATTGCTCAGATTCCAAGATGTGTAGCTAAAGTGTCTTGCCGTATTATGGAATATCTGAGATAATGAATGTACCACAACACCTAGACCCGAGACTATATAAAACTTCATTTTCTACAATGACTCGACCGGGAATCGAACCCGGGACCTCAGAGATGATGACACCTTGAAACCGGCGTGCGAAGCATTCGGCTACGGAGTTGAATGTCTCATTATAATTAATCAGTCCAAGAGCCCAAATTATCTCGTTAATTAAATTGGATATTGAAAATGTTTTATAAAATGATCACGTTTCTTAGGTAATCTACAGTTGTTATACTGGTACATGGCGTATCCAATCCGTTGGTCTTGCCGCCACACCATACCCGACTGCCGCGGCCGCTGGTATCCCATCACCTTCATCGTCTCCATACTCTGGATATCATTCTACTCCTACTTCATGGTCTGGATGATCACAATTATCGGTATGTTGTGCACATTTTACAATAAATAATTTCGTTTGTTGTTTTAAAGTATATTTTATTAATCTGCTATATGGCAATAATCTGATTTGATATTATTTATATAACTGAAGACAGTAAATCTTATGCCGCGACCGCACGTTTGGCACTTGCCGCAAACTCCAAACCTCTGCAAACGCTTGGCTTGATTTAGGGAATCAAACATCGCCATCCACACGCTTGCGAGTGATTTAGTGTGTTCTGAAGAGCCAAGCATGTTGCAAAAGGAAGTTTGCGCCAGCGCTTGCGACGCGTCCACACGTTTGCGCGTATTCAGTCTCGTTTGTGTGTTGGGGTGAGTAGATGTACGCTTGTATTGTGAAAAAACATGAGTGACTGGTCAAGTGAAGATATTTAAAATTTTCAGGAACTTTACCAGGCAGGACCATGCAAAAATAAATTAAACCAAATGTTATGGCCGATATAACCTCAATATCCATCACGTCCGTTATGCTTGGCTCTTCAGAACACACTAAATCACTCGCAAGCGTGTGGATGGCGATGTTTGATTCCCTAAATCAAGCCAAACGTTTGCAGAGGTTTGGAGTTTGCGGCAAGTGCCAAACGTGCGGTCGCGGCATTTAATTTAGGACTCTTCGATCAACAATACAACTATATGTCCGGTCAGAACCTCAAAGATGGCCGAAAACATAACGCCTCATTTCAAAGTGCGGTCTTATTTTAAATTTAGTTTGTTTGCGACGGCGCTAACGTTCGGACATATGTATTTCGATATCACAGTGCGTATTAAAACTGCAAATATAACTATCGTAATAAAAATTTATCTGTTGAAATATCATATTTTCGGGTTGTAAATGTGATTTTACTATGTCTATAATTAATAAACAATGTATTTTCAATAAAATAACCGAGTTTTGTTTCTGACCAAATATTATATGTTCTAATAATACATGGAGTAGTGTGCTATTAATTTACCAAAAAATTGAACAATAATCGTAAAACCATCTTGGACATATAAGTTTGTATCGGTCTGGGTACATCAACATATAGGTTTGTATCGGTCTGGGTGTTTTATAAGTATTTTAAGTATCTACACCAAAACTATTTAAAGCAAAAGATGCGTTCTCTGAAAGTGACTTAAATCGGTTATTGCTTGTTAATAGTTGTTAATGGAGATGAAGGTTGGAATATAACATCGACTTCGGATCCAATAATTAGTCAATTAAAATCTCAACCCAGATCACACACAGCAAGTGACAGTTACTTCTTTCTGCAAACATTAAAATTATAGAGAGTGATCCTGAAAGATTGTTGGCTATAAATTGCCTTCTTAACATTGTAATTTAAGTTTTAAATTATAATGTCTGCAAGATAATAGATTTTATAATTGTACTGTTATTTAAAATGAAAATCTCCTACATCCCCAAATTATCAACGTACATAATTACACGTATTTTTTACTAAGAAAAATAAAATTAACAATGCGACTCCATACTTAAAGTATTAGCACAGAATATACTCTGTGGTATTATGTTCCTTGGTTGTCGCAGTGTACGGTCTATGGTTTGGTGCTGTTTCCTGCAAAAATCAACTTTAGCAGGAGTCGCCATCTAGTGGAGGTGCTTTTTTAGTGCTATTGTTTTTTTCAAAAAACTTCCTCATTGTTTTAGTATGGGAGGCGTTATCTCGTTATATTGTTGATCGAAGTTAAGACTATACATAAACAGTCGTGGCTCCAGGACGAGCGCGGGTTTACATGTTCTTTGGCACGGGTAACGAAGGTCGTGCCGTGAGAGCCGACCTATATAAAACCATGGTTTTTCGAATGGCAAAGGACTCTATTCACTTGATCGATTTTACTTTAATATTTGTATTTGGCTTTTTTTGTATATAAGTGCCAGCCTTCATTAAACTCTATATCTTAATAAACAGATATTATAAAAAAAATGTGGATATGAATATTGAGATCAGTGTCTTTGATATCACGTCGCACGCGTGATGTCAATCACGCTTATCCACGTAATAACTGTAATCTACTAGGAGACACGCTGGGCATACCCAGCACGGCCATGATGCTATCAATTGTGGCGGTCGGTGTATCAGTACCTGATGCCCTCTCCTCAGTAGCTGTCATCAAGGAAGGGTTTGTGACAATCACGGAGTATAAATTTGAATGGCTTTGATTTTTTTCTAACCCCAGTTGTTTATTATTTTGCAAACGAAACTGTGTAAGCCTTCCCTGGACTATTCATTTTAAAACCAAAATCAGCCTAAAAAATCGGCCCGTCCGTTCTCACCTTTTAGTGAATCAAACGAACAGCAATTGATATTTTTAAAATAAATCTTTATATACAATTTCTATATTATGAGTATATATCCCATTAATATTATAAATGTGAAAGTTTCTTTGTTTGGATGTTTGTCGGTCAATCACGCCGAAACTAATGAACGGATTTTGATGAAATTTGGTATACAGATAGGGTATTAGCTGACTTAAATAATGGGATACTTTTTATCTCACTAAACATTTCCCTAGGGACCACGAGGGCGAAGCCGCTGGCGAAAGCTAGTAGATTATATTTATTAATGAGGCTGGATATAACCATATTTTTGAGATATACTTTTTTTTTACGGATTTTAAAGTATGACATTTAATTGAATGTGAGAGAGATTGTGAAGTTCATTCTTTAATGTGTTTATTCTACATATTAGGTACGGTGACATGGCGGTTTCCAATGCGGTCGGTTCGAACGTGTTCGATATCCTGGTATGTTTGGGGCTGCCGTGGTTCATACAGACCGCTATCATCTATCCCGGTTACCACGTAAACGTCATCAGTAAAGGTAACTGTCAAATAATGTTTGAAAGCTTTAAAGGAATTAGTTGAATTAGGCTATATATTAGAACTTTACATGTGATTATTATGTATAAATTCACAATAGAAAATGACTACAAATTAAAATGCCTATCCTCTACAAACAGCGTCCTCGCTTACTATGCATACATGAAATATTTTCATGTATCTATATATAATAATTTTGTAAGGCAAGGTTATTTCACATTGAAATAGCTAAATTTCAGTCTCATGTACATGGATGTGTATTAATTTCAAATATGACCTCTCACAACACTCACAGAATTGTGGTTGAGACCATCCCAGTAGGTGTTCAAGAATACATGTTACATGAGGTCTCGCTCTGCTAGATCTTTTTGCAGTTACTTTTTCTTTATAACTTCTTTTTCTTTCGTGCCATTGGCAACCAAAACTAAATGTTACCGGCCCAGAACTCCGCCTCTTTTACGGCGCTATACCATAACAAAACAACTGATATGAACATTATATATTCTTTAATTTACTTTAAATCAATTGGATTTAAAATGGCAGTAAAATTTTCAGCTTTTATTATGATTTAATTTGTTTATTACTATTTATTAATATTATTATGATTTAATTAAAAATCAATCGCTCGTAAAACACTCTCCACGCCACTTATTTGTACAACTATAGGCATTTATATATATTATTATTATTATTTTATTAAAATTAAATGGCGTTACGAACGTACTGACATAAGCCCTCAGAATTATGAAAAAATCCATCGCATGTATTGTACCTGGAACAGTACTGTAACGTCCGAGCACATTACTATAGGTAGGGTTTACTCTTCGGACGGTTTATGGTCAAGTGCTGGCCGTTAATATTTTAAATTATTACTTTTTCATATTCGAATTCGCGTGTTCGTGTTTTGCTGGTAAATAGTCTTTTTTTCTGATCGAGACCAGCTTAGAGTGAGCATCATAATATTTGGTTGTAAGTGATTAAATTGTAATACTACTTGAAAATAAATCAAGACTGAGGAGTTTTACCAGTTTTTTCATTGCGCCACCCACCTCCACCATTAGACTAAGTTGCCATAAGTCGCCATATGGTGGAGGCGCAACGTTTCGAAATATAACGATACCTCTCGTAAGCCAAGCGGAGAAAACATAAAAGCGAGAAAACTAACAACGAGAAAACGAAAATTATGGAGAAATACGACGGATTAAAAGGTGATGTGGCTGATTTTTTTTCCCAATTTAATATTATAGCAGCAGCAAACGGCTATCAAGAATCGACTAAAAAACTAGTGTTGGCGGCATATTTAGCGGAACCTGTACTATTATTTTATAATAAAATAAAAGATAATTGTGAGACATTTCAGGAACTTGAGAAACAAATCAGCGAGGAATTCTCTTCAACTGCAAATCCTCTCGCAACATTTTTTGCAAGAAGACAGGGTGCAACGGAAGATCCACTTAATTACTTTTATTCTTTAAATTATTTAGCCTATAAAGCTGGGGCACTTATTAATGATAAATGCTTCATCCAACATTTTCTTGGGGCAGCAAATTTCCAAACCAAGGGACGTTTAGGATCGCAGTTGTATTCGAATAAACAACAGTTGAAGGACGTGATTAAACAATTAAAAGAAATTTATAATAGAGGGGATGGAGAAGCGGACATTAATTTACCTGTAAAATTAACAAATCGACCCACTAGAACCTTCAGTTCTCCATCTTTCACCCCTCATAAAATCCCACCTCCCGATCAGATGATACCCGGCGCCTCCACCATATGGCGACTTATAGCAACTTAGTCTAATGGTGGAGGTGGGTGGCGCAATGAAAAAACTGGTAGAACTCCTCAGTCTTGATTTATTTTCAAGTAGTATTACAATTTAATCACTTACAACCAAATATTATGATGCTCACTCTAAGCTGGTCTCGATCAGAAAAAAAGACTATTCACCAGCAAAACACGAACACGCGAATTCGAATATGAAAAAGTAATAATTTAAAATATTAACGGCCAGCACTTGACCATAAACCGTCCGAAGAGTAAACCCTACCTATAGTAATGTGCTCGGACGTTACATTACCTACCTACCTATAATTTTGCGAAATATATTTTTTCATAACACATAATTACTAGTATAAGTATTTATGTAGCAACACATATTCTTGAAGCGCCAAACAAATCCGTAGCCGTAGCATTATAGCAGAAATTCGTAGCACGATCACTAGTCGTAGCGTACTCCTTCACGCAAGCGCTGCAATCTCCCTGACCTGATATATTATTATGGTTTAATGGGCATCGTCGTTCCAGTATTTGCCTAAAGCGCCAAGTTTCCTTGAGACGTTGGTGGTTTTTTGTATCTTTTTGTATAAGTTTTTTACTTTAACCTGGTCAAATTAAAACATTTAAGTTTATTCCTGCATTCCTGTAGAGAAACGAAAATTAAAAGATACCCAAATTAACACAATAATGTGTGGTTCAATCCTAGCCAGTAGGTACAGCGATGAAGATTGGTAGGTATGTCGATTGAATTGTCTTACTTACCACAGAAAGTACCTACATGGCATGTCAGAGAACTTCGCCACACTCTCATTCTTTCTGTTACCTGCGCCTATCAAATATTAATACATGTACTTAACTGTAGAGACTTGCAATAATCATTATTTATTGAATTCGCTGTAAGATAGCGCCCGAATTGAGTAAGATTGCGGACGCAAACTCTGTCTACACTGCAGCCCGGTCTAACGGCTTGTCTTTTTAAATGACTTAAAAAAAGAAGGAGATACTCACTTCGACTGTATTTTTTTTTGTGTGGTTTTTACGCAATTACTTTTCGATTCAAAATTCTTTTGTATTCGACAGGTTAATGAGCTATGTTGGTCCCATTAAAAAAAAAATAAAAAAATATGCTTTTTTCATATATCACCTAAATATTTTGATGCCATGTTTATATCAGCGAAAATGTCAATGAGTTTAACAACAAGAGAAGTAATCCCATACAACAAACGCGCCAAAAAGCGTAGCACTTTTCGAAATGAGAACATAGCCTTGTTAATAACATTTTTCTTATGGTTTTGTATGTTTGTCTCCCTCATAACTACGTCTATACGTCAAATTAAATAAAGATAAAATATATGCGAATGACCGATTGAACGTAAAAATGAGTAATTGACACTGTATTGCCAGCTGTCGAAAATTTTACCCCTTATGATGAATTAATGAATGAACGAGTAATTTAGATATAACTATAAAATCGATTACTAAAATCCTGTAACTTTAAAAATTCCTATAATACATATTCGAAATAAAGAAAATAGTAATTCGCTGTATTTTCACCTTTTTCACCATTCACATAAGTAAATAAATAGAACTACTGTAAAATAAGGGCGCACAAAATTAATCTCCAATACAAATTTCACAATTTTGTTAAAAGAGTACGTGAATATAAACATATTCCATTCGGAAGAGCGGTAAATTCGGCTTGGTATTATATCAATCATGGGAGTATACATAAAAATATATCAATTTTATTTCACTTCACCACCAGCTCTTTTACGTCCCCACTGCAGGGGCTCAGGCCTTCCTTATGGATGGTAAAGGAGGATGGGCCATGACCCTCCACGCTGGCCCAATGCTGATTGGAGGGTATTAACGACTGCAAATGCAGCCGGGACCAACGGCTTAACGTGCCTTCCGAAGCACGGAGTAGCTCGAGATAATAATTTTTTGGTCACCCATCCCGTGACCGACCCTTGCGAAAGTTGCTTAACGACTACGATCGCGGGCCGCGGCGCTTATCCACTACGCCACCGAGCTACTCACTTATAAGGTTTGAATATCAATAGTTGGTTAAAAAAATAAAATAATAAAACTACTTCCTTCTAAATCCAATATTGCGTATAGCCGAAGTTGGCAAATTATCTTTAAAAATTCTCATAGCATGGACATCAAATTAAACTGTTTGCCGAGAAGATCATAGTAAAATTCTGATTTAATTATAATTCAAATATAGTGTATGCAAGCCGGCTTGTGAACCAAGATATAAAGTCCTATAGAACTCTTTTTTATAATGAGGTCATTACATTATATAATTAAAGCTTGCTAACTTCGTCAGAACATATTCCTCTTAAAGAAAATTTATGAGCATTGTTCTTAAATTGTCTGAACATTGATAAAAGTACGCTCTGTAGTAGCGAAAAATTAGTAAGTGCTTGAAAAAGTAGTCAGTCCTGTTAGGTCCCGTGAAGCTCAGTGGTTAGAGGCGCTCGCATTGCGAAAGGGCATAGGATCAAGTCCTATCTCTGAATGCCGGGGACAAAGTGGATTTTTAAGCATTTTACAATATAAAAATATAATATTTCTTTCTATTTGTTGTTTTAAGCTTTTATTCAATTTCTTCTTTAAATGTAGTCTTTGCAATATTGGAAACCACTTCAGTAGTTTTTCGCACGCTGATTTCAAGGTGTCACCATCTCTGAGATCCCAGTTCGATTATATATATATATGATATTGTCTCAGGTCCTGGTGTTGTGGTCCTTCATTGTCTCAGATATTTCATTATATAGGGACTTTAGCTACTCATCTTGGAATTTGTGCAATGTATGTGATATTATATAAGTAGGTGTGTCATTGAGAATTTTTGCAGAAAAATACTTTTTATTCCACGCAATACTCCTTCATCTGTTTTAACTAGCTGTCCTGTTGATTTGTACTTATTGTCTCTCTACTCTACATAGAGTCTATAGTTTTCATCTTATTTTTGATTAGTAACTATAAGTACGATACTACGATTATGAGCAGAGATTTTTCATCTTATAACGAAAACCTTACCAGCAGTTGTAAGAGATAATAATATAAATGTAACTTAAATTTGTAATATTCAATAGTAGAATCAAAAACAAAATGATTTTTTTATATTGGAAGCACTTTAGAATCGGCGACTACGCCAACGTGCGCCAATTGGATTGCGCCATTGTCATTGGAGTCATTGGAGTGATAACACACCCTCTCTACCAGACGCTAAAGCGCAGAGAAGCTTAGTTTAGAAGAAAAAAGAGAAAGGATATGTTGTTACTATATCATACAGATAATAAAAATATAGACCTTATTTTATAGACAATAAAGCTACGTTATTTCGTGAAAAAATATCAAATGATATATGTCTATGACAGGCCTATCCAACATAATAATGGAGGGCCAGGTTCAGCATTTTCACAAGCGTTGCGGGCCAAAAAAAACCTTCAGAAAGCCCATCAGTTTTGGTTTATTTATTTATTATATAATCTTAATATATTATAATTACTGTAACTATGTCTTTAAGTCTCAGCAGGCACATAAAGCTATTCTTAAAATCTAAGTAATGCTGGCTTATAATAAATCTGGCTATTCAACAAATTTGTTTATTTGGTAGTACATGAGTTTGCGAGCAGCTGTTTTCCCGCATGAAATTTAACAAATCGAAAACCAGATCATCTTTATCAGCTAGCCATCTTTCAGGCATTTTGCGCATAGCCACTAAAACTCCAGTTGACAAAGATACAGAAAAAATGGCAGACATCTAATGAGATGATTTATAAGGTTTGGGTATTGATTGGGTTTAATATACTTTTTATAAAATTTAATTATATTTTGAATACAATTATTATATATTGTTTTGAAATGAAAGCTGTTTTGCAATTCTATTAACTCCAACTACAAAGTCAGTACTGCGCCTTTAATTTCAATATCAAATGGATTTTGAAACACATTCACGCTGGGAATTCGTGATTTGAAGTCTGCACATCTCTCGTCAAACTTGTTCCTCGATCTTTGTAACAACAACACGTACTTGTCAATCATTTAAAGTATCTTGCTTTCTTGAAGATAAGGTCTCCCAATGAATCAACTGCTTTTGTTCCAGCTGCTTTTCCAACAACAACGACAACTTTTTGTGAAAGCTAGAACGTGATCGTATAACTGTGTCCGTACTTGGTCTTTTCCTTGGAGTTTCAAGTTAAAATCAGAAAGATATTTAGTTATATCTAACAGGAAAGTCAGATCAGTCAGTCAATCACTGCACATCAGTAAGGAAACTAATATCCCGGCTTTGTTTCCTAGAAAAATCTTTACGTCATCGAGTAGGGATTAGAATCGTTTTATTGTGATTGCTCTACTAAGCCAGCGAACACGGCTGAATATCTTTGTGATCTGACCCGATATCATTCAGAAAAACCTGGAACTGTCTGTGACTAAACTCTCTTGCGCGTATAAAATTAACTGTCTGCACTACTTTATCCATCACGTGTTTCAGGCCAAGAACTTTTGCACATAGTTGTTCTTGGTGAACAATACAGTGATGCTATATGATTGTTTGTGTGATGCTATTACGCATTAAAACCACAAAGCGATTTCTGGTTCCTGTCATAGCAGGCGCACCAACTGTTGTTAAGACGCAAATATTTTCTCTTTAAAGTTCATATTTTTCTATACAACTTTTAACTTCTGCGTAGATTGAACGCAAATCTAATTCCTCGATATCGTTAGGTATAGTCTTCGGCTACTCCTCTCACTCTGTATCTGACATATCAGTACTTTCGTCGAACGCTAAACTGCAATTGCGTTTTTAAAGACGTCTCAATATCGTTGGTCATGTAATCAATTCTTCTTGTTATGGTTTGATGTGAAACTAAAGAAAAACATCATAATTAAACATAATTAAAATAATTCAATATTTGGAGAATTGAATTATTTGCTTCATTTTTCAATATTTCAATACAATAAACTTTATTTAAATACCATTATTCACGAAATAATGTATGTAGTATCAAAGACTAAAGACTCTTTATAAAGACTTTAAAATTAACATAGGTTTATTTATTAAAAACACGACTATTTCACAAACTTATTTAACGCAAAAGACTTCCCGCCTTTTAAGTTTTCACATAAATAAAAAACGTGTTTAAACTTTATTAGAATGTATCTCATTAATATTATAAAATCGAAAGTTTGTAGGTTTGGATATTTGTTACTTCTTCACGCAAAAACTACTGAAAGAATTAAGATGAAATTTGATATTGAGGTAATTCTTGGCCTGTATTAACATTTAGAATACTCTTTATCCCGCTAAAAAGTTCCCTAGTGATATAAGTAATTCCAAGGGCGCCCATTTTTATGAACGCTGCCTGAACGGTAAGAGATATACTTTCTAAACAAAAGTTGGAGAGTTTTAAATCTATAAAAAAAGTCCCCGATTGTATATATCTATGTGCTAAGATATATTTTTTTAATCTTATCACAAATATTTAAATTGTTCGTGTCTTTAGGCGTTTGTTTGAATAGGTGTTAATCCTTATAAAAAATGATATGCTTATCGTCAAAGACATTTAATGCAAACAAAAACATTGAAGTAGGGCGTGAAATTTTTTAAATTCGTTTATTTATAATATAATTATTGTTTCATTTGACATTCATTGCAGAATATATCTGTGTTTAGGTGTTTACGCGTAAAACGACCGTTACAGTCAGCTTAATGAGTAGGTATAAAATCATCGGCCTTTTGATGTCCACCGCTGTGGCACATGCCTCGGCTCGTTGCAGATAGGTGGGTTTAATGACAACAAATGCAGCTACTACCCAAATAGGACACACTATGCTATGTACTTTTTATTTAATAAAGGGTAGATTTTACCAATTGCTGATAAAGTCCCTGATAGCTTATCAGAAACTTATCTGCTAGATAAATTGCAAATTTTGGTTTCATAAGTCTCAGATAGAACTATCAGACAGAATAATATCAGTGACTTTTAATTGTAAGCGTTATAAGTTAATATATGTATCTGAAACTTTATCAGCAAGTGGTAAAACAGGCCCTAACTATCATCTTTCAGGCATAATTTACTCGAGTTTTTTGCTGTTTGCGCCGATGATATTCCTATTGGTAGCGACACACGCTAACAGCTGGAAGCTAGACCGCAAGTTCGGCGCCGTCCTGATGGCATGGTACGTGCTACTCATCACGTTAGCAAGCCTCTATGAACTGAACATATTCGGCCTAACCAATCCACCGGACTGCAACTCCGCATATTAATCTGTACCTATCTAGTTTAATTTAATTACTTGTGTTTTACCTTGAAATGAAAGACAATAAACTTGAAACTCCCATACTGTTTCATTTTAACGTTCATAAATCGATTTTGAGTCTTCTTGAATCGTACGACTGCATAGTAATGTATTTGGGAACCCCTTGTTAGGAGAAAACAAAAATTGTGGTTACAAAACTCCATTTTTACGAAATCGGAGTGAAAACTTCAGTCAAAGTGTGTCAAGATACTGTCTTAGAAGCGGTACTTAAACTTCTCAATAAGACCTTATTCAAAATCGAAGTGTGGACATTCCAACAGGATTCAGCTCCGGGTTATAAGGCGCGCGCTACCCAAATTTGGCTTGCGCAAAATATTCCAGACATCATAAAGACTGATGATTGGCCTTCGGCTAGTCCGGACTTAAACCCTTTGGACTATAAATTGTGGTCTGTGTTAGAGGACATGACCTGCTCTAAGCGTCACCCAAACATTGAGTTACTCAAGAAATCTTTGGAGGCAGCAGTGACCAAGTTTCCAATGAAAACTGTTCGTAAATCCATCGCTGATGGCCCGACCGTTTAAAAGCGTGCGTTAAAGCTAAAGGTGGACACTAGTAAATTAACATATATTTTTCACTCTACATAATCACATATAAAACTTTGAAATAAAATTATATTTTTAGAAATTATCGGATATTTACTTTGTAACAGAACTTATGGCTAGACTTTTGGATGGTACGATAAACAAACATTCGGCTAATCACTAGCTTTGTGAGCTTTTTCAATGTAACAAAAATGTCGACTGGCTCCTTACCTACTTTGTACAGTGCAATTACTGCATTCCTATTCTCATTAGTGCCCCACTTCATTTCAAAACAAATAATTTCTAAACAAAAAACATACAATATTGAAGGGAAAGAAGTCTATTTTTTATCGTAGAAGCTAATGTTTGAAAATAAAATAATGTTTTTTTTTTAAATGTATGTAAACAGCTAGTAACAGAATTTATACATAGACTAGATTTATAAAATAGTATATGCGAGATTGACTGGACGGTTAATTATATTTTTTTTTTTTATAATTTATATTTCATAATTTATTTTTTTATATATAATTTATATTTAAGCTTTCTTAAAGTCGTTAGGTGAGTCCTTGTCATTGGTGAAACGCATTTTCACCTTAGATGATGCCCTAATATTTAGGTGTCAGATTTGGGCGACTTCTAAGTTCAAGGGTGACAATAATATGTTTTTTGAGTAACTTTTAATATGGTTCAGGTTTTTAACTACGGCAGATATTGTTACAATAAACATATTTTTAGTTTTATTATAGATACTTTTAGGCTCTTCATGCAATTCGATTTCGATGAGCGATATCGCACGAAACGTGCGTTATTCTTTATTCGAGGAGCGATATCAGTTACGCAATCTCAAATGCATGGGTACTAACATCACCAATTATGGCTATTTCAATCCTATAGGTATAAGCGGATTTTAAAATTCTCTAAATAAAATAATTATTATACATTAATATAAATTGCTAATAGGATACTAATTACTTGTGAAAAATAACGACTGATGATGATTTTGGGATTTTCTTTGACCAAGAAATTATTTGCTCTTGAACATTTTTATTTCCATCCAAGAATGTTTGCTTTGAGGAATAGTCGACATACTTGATTTAAAAAAATCATTTTCTTCTACAAAACGAGAGGCAAACATTTTGATTCAACAGAACTGCCTTTCCAGTAAGTAAATTTGTTGCTTTTTAATCAAACTTAATTCATTCCTTCCATTCAAAACCATGAATTCTTAATTTAAAATAAGTCATTTGTTTTAAAATAATCTAAGCTTTTAAACTGATTACGTAACATTTTTTCTATTAGAGAAACTGCTTGTTTTAAAGGAAACATAATTGGTTCAATGAAGATTATATTTCTTTTCTTATAAATAATTCATACAACTTCAGGCTAAGAATTTTAAATTCTTGTAACCAGACACTCATTTTATTACACAGAGAAAATGTATTTTTTAGTGTTAAGAAACCAAAATTATAGTGTCAACAATTTGAGTTTTTTTATCCTGTTCAATTATCTTTAACCTAAGAGCGTTAATTTCTTAACTGGAAAGAATCGAAATAGTTTTCTCAAGAAATTGATATTTTTATCTCTAGAAAATCGTATACTTCTGTATAAGAAAATTTAATTAATTGTCGCAATGAAACAAAATTCTAGTTTCGAGAAGTCTGTATTTTTACTAGTAGTAAACCGCGTAGTTCTATGTAGAAAATTGATTTTTTTGTCACAATGAACCGAAATTTTAGTTTCAAGAATTTGGATTTTTTACCTGTAAGAAATAACATTTTAGCTAAAGAATTTTTGACTACGTACACAGAAAAGTCAAATATTTTCATTGAATTGAGTGGATTACTTAATCGTAGAGATTATCTCTGATCTCAAGAATTTAGGTTTCGAACAAGAGATATTTAATTTGATACAAACACTCAAATTCTTCGCAACATTTGTTTAAAAAAAATTTAAATTAGTGTTTGACCAATCAGTGGTTTACGCATCCTCGCATCTATCTTCGAAGAGATGTTACCCTGAAAATAGGTAGGTATTATCGATATCGATTGATATTCATGAAGGATTGAGTCTTACGTCCAACAGTGACCGATTTCGGGCTATTGATGATGATATTAAATGGTAAGTCAGAGTCTTTATGAGAAGAAAAGAGAATCGTCATTAAAATAATTTTAGTTTTAAAGTCTATCAACTTAATGAGAGATGCAGTAAACAGAAGTAATTAAAATTTAATTTTAAATTGTATGACTCACCATTGTTTGTAACTCTCTTACTTAGAATTATTTCTTATTGGCTTTTTACCCGATTGCGGCAAAGTTAAAATGGAAGATTATGTTTGCATAATCTTCAAGCTACATAATTATGTGGGTATAATAATGCTTATAATTGTGTATGAAAGTATGTTTATGTTTACGTATGTCTACCACAAAGCCTCTACTAAGTTGATTTTGACATTAAACTGTCACTCGATGTGATTTGTGACTGTTTATGCAGACAATCTCATCATAATTATGATGAATGTTAGTAGAATACTAAGCGGAGACCGACTGACCTGACTCCCATTTTCCAAGATGTGTCAGTGCCTATTACCTACCAATGGCCTAGATATTCTGGGTCTCCACTAAATCAAACGCTGAAACTTTTTAATGTTAAAGAGACAGCAAACACTGTCGCCTATTAACACCTTCAGGATCAAGTCCCTCAAATGCGTTGCTGCCCCTGGGGTCTAAGATGGAATACCCTCGAATGTGATCCTGTAATAACATTGCACCTTTCCCACCAGACCGGAGCACAGCGAACTTCTTTGCGGCAACACTAATAAAGGCGATGGTCCCCATCCAGACGGTTACTACCACCAGCTACGGCCAAAGAGCTCGGCTTCCAGTGTGAAGTTAGGCGATACTTCTCGCAAGGACAGCTTTTAAAACTATACAAGTCCGATCATGCATGGAGTATTGCAGTCACTTGTGGGACGGCTCTGTCAAGTATCAGTTGGCAGCTTTGGATTTAGTGTAGCGCCGCGCCGTGACCTTGATTTGACGCGCATTGACTTGAGGGCACACGCTTGTTGAGAACAAGTTTGTGAGTTTTAAACATTGGCTAGAGTGGTTTATCGGTATTTTATAAGTTGCATTTTGCGGTCAAGAGCTGTATAATCTTATACCACCTGCTCCCTTCCATTACTGAAATTCAAGGCGTACACCGGGAATGCACCCTTACACTGTGGATATTCAACCTATCCGTACTAAGCGCTTTACCTCATCTTTCATAATGCGAACCACACAAAAGAGAGTAGAACAAGCAGCCAAGCTCGGTGTTCCCGGAAAGGACTTTTTTTTAAATAAATCAATAAATAGGCATTTTTTGAGCCCAAAAATAATGTTTCATGTTTCTAACTTAAATAAATTACGGTCTTCCATACAAGCTTTCAACCCCTATTTCACGTCCTTAGGGATAGAATTTGCAAACTTCCTTCCTTAGTGGGTTTCTACTCAATAAAACAACCCTACTCACCAAATTTCATGGCTGAAACTTTAAAATTTTTGACCGGCGATGATAAATCAGTCAGTCATTCAGGACATGTTATTTTATAAGAATAGGTAAGATAGAAGATACACATATACAAAAGTATTATATTATAATTTCTAAATGAAGTTAAAGATATTAGATTTCATTTGAAATTCCTCTGATCGATAAATAAATAAAATAGAATCATTTATTATTTTTCTTTTACGAAACCGGTTACGTAGCTTTGGTTTCGTAAGGGCCGAATGGAAAATATTGATTTTATTAACAAGTACATATTGCAATAAATGTTAGTACTTCGATTGACCGACCTTTGCTCGTTTTAATTTATACTCATTGGCTTAGCGCTACTGAACTAGCTTTTAAATACATATACGTACATATATGCGTACAAGAACTGCTCGTAAAGGTATTATGCAGATAGAATCGAAAATATCGATAATACTCAGGTATCGATTTTTTTTGGTTGCGTATCACTATTGACTTGACCACGACACGACACGTTCAGCGTTACTTTAACATAGTTTTTGATTACCTATATTCTCTTTGGTTAGGTACTTTTTTTAGATAGTATTACCATAGAGATCTTAAAATATCTATGAATCTTAGTTCTTACTAATTTGAATTTGTATCACGCGGGATCCAGAGGTTAACATATTATTCTATCTGGTTAACCGACGCAATCACTTTCTTATTATTTATTTTTTCTTATTCTTTAGTTGAAGTGCGTTGTTATTTAATTGTCACCCTAAGTGTTGTTTGGTATGGAGGAGTCAATAGAAGACCTTCTAACACGGTGGGGAATGCCCGCCGACGTTGTCGTGACATTCAAAAGTAAGTACAAAACTTCGTTACAAAGTACCTATCACTCCATCTTGAACGTCAGAAAGTTATAGGT